AGTGGGACTGCAAACTAGTTCAACCTCTGTGGAAAACAATAAGGAGATACCTTAAAGCGATACAAGTGAATCTACCATTTGATCCAGCAATCCCATTGCTGAGCATCAACTCAAAAGATCCAATGACACTCTACAAAAAAGACACCTGCACTCGAATGTTTATAGCAGCACAATTCATAATTGTAAGGCTGTGGAAACAGCCCAAGTGCCCGTCAATCCAAGAATGGATTAATAAAATGTGGTATATGTATACCATGGAGTACTATTCAGCTCTAAGAAACAATGGTGATATAGCACATCTTATATTTTCCTGGTTAGAGCTGGAACCCATACTACTAAGTGAATTTTCCCAAGAATGGAAAAACAAGCACCACATATACTCACCAGCAAATTGGTATTAACTGAACAGCACCTGAGTGGTCACATAGGTACTACAGTAACAGGGTATTGGGCAGGTGGGAAGGGGGAGTGGGGCTGGTATATACATACATAATGAGTGAGATGTGCACCATCTGAGAGATGGTCATGATGGAGACTCAGACTTTCGGGGGAGGGCGGGATATGGCCATTTATTGAAACCTTAAAATCTGTACCCCCATAATATGCTGAAAAAAAAATATTTAATAAATTATGCACATAAAATTAAAAAAAAAACTAAACATAGTTTTACTATTTTATCCAGCAGTTGTGCTCCTTGGTATTTACGCATATGATTTGAAAACATGTCCTCACAAAAATCTGCACAAGAAACTTTGCAATAGCTTTACTTGTAATTAAAAAAAAAAAAACCTAAAAACTGGAAACAACCAAGATGTCTTTCAACTGGTAAATGAATGGACAGTGGTATATCCATACAATAGAATATTATTCCATGATAAAATAAAATGTCATCAAGCCATGAAAAGACATACATGAATCTTGAATGCACATTGCTAGGTGAAAAAAAAGAACAGTATGAAAAGGCTACATACTATATGATTCCAACTATACAACATTCTGGAAAATGCAAAACTATACAGATGGTAAAAAGGTCAGTGATTGCCAATTGTTAGGGGTAAAGCAGATGAATAGTTGGAACACAGAGAATTTTTAGTGCAATATAAATATTCTGTATTACACTGCAATGGTAGATGCATTATGTATTTGTCGAAACTCACAGAACTGTACAACACAAAAAGTGAACCTTAATGTAAACTATAGACTTTAGTAAATAATATGTCAGTTGTAATAAATGTACGACATTAATACAAAATGTTAATAATAGGGGAAACTGCAGGGAGGAGGGGAGGTTAGAGGGGTATATGGGAACTCTCTCCACTATCTGCTTAATTTTTCCATAAATCTAAAACTGTTCTAAAAAATAAAGTCTTTAAATTTTTTTCTAATAAAAAAGGAAAGGTCAAGGTGAGGTGAAATTGTAAGAAAAAATATTATGAAAGAAGTGAAGGTCCTTAAGGGTTCATAGGATTTCTAGAGTTGGAAAGGGCAGAAGATGTTTTAGCTAGGATTGAGACATGAAAAAGACTCAGAGGGCTCAAATTGCAAAAGAGCAGGAAATAATACAGAATAAATCAATGCAAAGACAACAGGAAGTAATTCAATGGAAGCCAGGGGCCAAGGCAGGGCTAGAAACACTAAAGCGTCATTCTAATATCAGATAAACATACACATGGGAGCCAACTTGACCTCAGCTAGGTCTTCAACATGTATTCATTCATTCATTTATTCAATATTTACTAAACAGCTACTATGTTCCAGACACTATGGTGGGCACTGGGGATGAGCAGTGAATAAAACAAATGAAAATCTCTGTTCTTACTGAGCTTATATTCTAGTGAAGGGACACTGACAGAACCTGCCTGGCATTTTCCAGAAACATCAAAAAACCATTATGGCTGGAATTCAGTGAAGGGGGAAGGTAGAAGGTGAGATAGAGAAGATAACAAAAGCCAGAATGTATAGGGCCCTGGGGCCAGAAAAACTAAGGACTCTGGGTTTTACTCTGAGAGGTTTAGGTTTTGAGTGGCAGAGTGGCTTGATTGACACCTGAACAGGGTCATTCCTTCTTCTGTGCTGGGGGTTGACAGAATGAACAAGAGTGGCTCCAGGCACACCAGTGAAGAAGTTGCCATAATCCAGGTAAGAGAAGATGGTGGCTAGGACCATGGTTTTAGCAGCGTAAGTTGTAAGATACAGATTCTGGACTCTGCTGATGGATTAGATGTGTTAGAGAAAAACAGAGTCAAAACGACTCAATTTTAGGTCTGAGCAACTAACTTGAAGGTAAGGGTTGCCAGTAACAGAGAGAGAAGAATATAGGAAGAGCAGGCATTTGAGCAGGACTGAGGTCAGTGTCTGATTTCAGGTAAGTTACCTTGAAAGGGAGTTGAGAGTGAGACTGAAATGCAAAGTAGAGTGGGCAAGACTAAGTCCCAGTATGTACCAGTAGTGAGGATAAGCATTTATTCATTCATTAAACATATCTTGAAATCAACCTTTTTAATGTGACGGGGACACAAAGATAAAAATAATACATCCTCCTTGTCTGGAAGTAACTAAGAGTCCAAAGAGGGAAACAGAAATATAAACAAACAATTCTATTACATTAAGCATCATAGTTGAGGTATTTAACATTTATTGAGTCCCTGCTATATGCCAAGCAGTGAGAAGAGGAAGCAAGAGGTATGTATGAAGTTCTATAGGAGCATAAGAGAAATTCTTGCAAAGGCTGGTAAAGACATTCTCAAGGGATTTTACCACAGTATGACATCAGAGAGTTGGCAGTAACCTAGATGCCTCATCACTAGGGATATGTATCATTAAATCTACGAAATAGCAGCAGCTAGAAACAACAAACTAGGTGTATACACAACATTGTGGAAATAGCTCAAAAATATAGTGTTGAATAAAACAGCAGGAAACAGATTTACAGTCCAATACGATCTCTGTAATTGTAAAATGCATACACAAAACACTACCTGTCTTAAATCATCAAAGATCTATATCAAACATATTGTAGTTTGTGTCTAGAAGAAAGAGAGTGGGGATTGATAAAGATGAGGAAAGCTAATATAAACAATATAAAATAAGATAAACAAGAGAGGGGCCTTGTAGAGACTGATGATGAAAATGTGCTGAGAATTGAAGAGCAAAGTTAACTCAACTCTCTGCACCTGACGTAAAATAACTAGCTAATAGGAATCTGGCTGATAACCCTAAGGGAAAGGGCATCTGTGGGGTCCAGGAAGCATGCGCAGAGACATGAAGGCATGAAAGTGCATCATTGGCTTCAAGGAACAGTACCAGGTTGAACGTGGCTTGTAGTAAAAGTGGTTGTGAGTTGACATACTTGAAAGTCCTGGGTAAGTTGCACAACATCTTACATGTGGAAGGTATAATCATTCTAATCAATATGTTCCCTTTTATTACATCAGGGTTAAAGATAATGTTCTGCTCCCATTCAGCCTATGGTGGGATTCTCTTTAAGCCCTATTAGAGTCTTTGCCTCTTGTGATTACTTCAAAGACTCTAATCCAATGGGTCACTCCTGTTTACTATGACCTTAAGGAATGTGACCCTTGATCTGCTTTAAAGCTGGAATTCCACCACTAGCTGCAATGTTGCTTCTCTGCCTGGGGTGTGGTGGGCAGGGAATTGGAAGCCCAACAATGCCTCTCATTCTGGGGTACCTGCCGTGGGCAGTTCACCCTGCCTTTGCCAACTCAGTGCTACCAGTTAACTCTCACTTGTCACCTTCTAGTTGGAATCACTTCCCCTTCTCTGACTACCCCTCCTCCACCCCAGATTGGGTCATGTTCCACTATCATAGCTGTATCTATTCTTCACAGCCTTTAGCACAGTTGCAACTCCACATTTACTTTTCTGATAATCTACGTCCATCTACTCACCTAGGTTCTGAGTTCACTGCAGGTAGTCTTTTCTTTTTTGCTTACCAATGTCTCACTAGCACTTAGCACAGTGCCTGGCACATGGTAGGTGCTTTAGAAACTTCTCAGTTAGATACAAGCATTCCAGACAATGGGAACATGGATCCAGGTGGATACAAACACGGTGCAGAGGCAGGAGTAAGAAAGGTAGAGTTTGTTCTACAGGAGAGGGTAACAAATTGCAAGAAGGTGCACCAGTCCCAGACACAGGTTGTGTGAGTGCTACACACATCTGCCCCACCCTCTGGTACAGGGTGGGCATAAAAGTAGGGGCAAAAATGCACTTTAAAGAAATCAGCAACTGCTTAACACATTCCTTTTTAACGTATGCCAAGCACGAAATTGAATTGAGGAAATCGGAGTATGTGGGTCAGTGCTGAGTCTGAGGAAGGGCTAACATTTCCAGAGGTCCTGACGCAATGCATTGACCCTCAAATGGCACTGGGTGTCTCCACAGAACACCCCAAAAATCCCTTGGTGGGGAGGGCGTGACTTTCGGCCCTTTGCCTCTAAGGGTCACACAAGCCTGGGTCACCGTGTTTACCACCGTTACTAACTCAAAGTCTTCTGCAATCGAATCCTTCACCCTTATTCTTGTCCTCTACTCCACCTCTAGCTCAATCAGGCTCTGCGCTACTTTGAAAAAACCAAACCAAAATCCCCCTCCAATCCTAGTGAGGTTGAACCCCCATAACCAGATGCAGTTGATCACCAAAGGAGGCCCTTTCCCACACCTCCACTTGCACCTCAAAATAAATGTGCATGCCGGCCCTCGCCAGGCAACGCGAGACTGTGCGACCCGTCGCCTCCCTTCCCGCCTTCCGGGTCTTGGCGGAGCGCGCGCACGCCCAACCCAGGCGCCTTACGACGGACCCCGCAATCTAGTCGGCTCCCAGCAGCGCGCATGCGTGCGCGCTTGGTCCGCTAGGAAAGAGAGGGCGGGACCGAGGGGCTGAGCCCACGGGGGATGGGACGGCGTCTGTCACGTGACACGGATTCACTGTTTACACGCGCAGCGGGCCGAGTGTTCGGCCTCTGTCAGGCGCTCGGCTCCGTTTCGGTTTCACTTCCGGTGAAGGGCCGCCTCTGAGCGGGCGGCTGGCGGACGGCGAGCGCGGGCGGCGGCAGTGACGGCGGCGCCTCTGTCGGGGGGCGTGCGGTAGCGCGGCGGCGGCTGGGCCTCAAGCGCCTGCAGCCCACCTCTCGGGGGCGGGCTCACGGCGCGAGCAGGGCTGTGGAGAAGATGGAGGAGCTGGTGGTGGAAGTGCGGGGCTCCAATGGCGCTTTCTACAAGGTACTTGGCTCCAGGGCAGGCCTCATTTTCGGCCTCCCTGCCCTCCCTTTTCTTTTCAGGGTCTGCTGGAGACAGGCCTGGGGCCCTCTTTCTCAGTGCGGTGCCTGGGTGCTAGGGCGCATTCGGCGGGATGTTTGGGAAGGAAGGACTGGACTGGGGGCCTTTAGGAAGCCCCTGGAGCCACGCTTGGTCTTTGACGAGAGGCCCGAGCGCCTGTCGGAATGAGAAACGGGCGAAAAGAGGAGGGTGCCCTTTCCAGGCCAAGCCAAACTAGGGAGAGCTGGGGATGGGCGAGGGCCAGGGGCAGGTAAGAGATCCCGGCGGGAAGGGCCAGAATCGGCTCTAAGTGATGGCTTATTCTTCCTTTCCTAAAAATCCTGTCTCAGTGGGATCCGGGCCTGACGTGTGGGTAGTTGAGGAGCCGGGGGCGCTTTAGTCGGGCTGCCTCCTGCCGCGCCAAGAGGATTTAAGGTCTCCTTTGGGTTTGCTTTTCTGGTCCAGCATTGGGACTTCGGAGAGCTCCTCAGTTCTGGGCGAGGGGTGTGGAGAAAGAGTAGTAAGCTGTAGTTAGCATCAAATCACAATGGAAACTATTTTTAGTGACTTCTCCTTGTGAATTTCAGAGGAGATTTTAGACCCAAAAGTTTCAGGAAGGCCCCAACATATCCGAGCAGTTCATTAAAGAAGTTGGCCGTCGTGAATATTCGCGGGCCTTCTCCCTTTTTATAAATAGGGGTGAATTCAGGAATACAGATGTTTCAGTGTCTAAAATCATTAGCCACTTAAAAATTTTGTGTGTGTATCTGAGTCTCTGAAGACCTAAATATTTGCCATGAAACTTCAGAAATTAACTGAAAGTATATTATAAATAAGAATTTTAAAAACTGAGTATTTGGAAGTATTTGTTTTGTGCTATTAAGAACTTGACCATATTCCCTTTGACTTTGTAGTGTTGCAGTGGACTAGATTGTTTGGGTTTTAAATAGACATTCGTGGTTTTGTGCTTTTTAAAGTTACATGGTTGCAGATGAACTAATATCTTACATTTTTAAAAGGGAGATTAAAAAACATTTTGATGTAGCAGTGCGTTTCTTGGTAGGCACGTACTATAGAACTAGTAATTTATAAATTCTCGTTTCCTCTTGAATGTCTAACTTTTGTAATATCTATCCCTCCTTACTCTACAGTATTTTGTCAATAGAAGATGCACGTGGAAGGAAGCATGGGAAATAGTTATTACCATTGTTCACAATTGTTAAATTTGTTATAAGATTACTTGAATGTTTCAAATGGAACATATTTGGCTGTAGGAAAATAAACAATTGACTTTATTTGACATACATGTTTACCAATTTTGTGGGGACATTTGGAGATCAATATATTTCATAAATGAGTAAAGTATGTAAACTGTTTCATACTTTTAGCAGAAAGATAAAACCTTTTGCCATAAAAGGAAGCAAAAAATAACCCAGCATTTATGTTCATAATAGTCTCACCAATACAAAATTGTTTTAGTCGGCTCTGCGGTCAAAATTTTAGCTACATTTATTTCATTGAGCCATAATTTCTACTGGTTAGTTTGTGTAGAATCGTTCTGAGTCCAGGATTGGTAGTTTTGGTCACTAGATTTGTGGCGCTAACTATAATATGTATATGAGTAGGGGCTAAAGGTTAAGCAGTATTCAAATTGATCTGTGATGTCAGCTTAGATTGGACACCACTGAAGTTTGCTTACCCATAGAGGGCAAGTTGCACATCCTGGTGTGGAAGAATTTATTGTTCTCTTCTAGCAACCTATGATTTGCTCCAGTGATTTGCTTGCAAACTGACTGGAATATAAGAGATGCCCTCTATTTTTGCTGTTAATCCTCCCTTTTTTTTTTTTTTCCTTAACAAAGTTGCTTAATTTGAAAGCGAATAAAAAAGAATAGATTGGCCTTTAGTTCTGTGAGGGGAATGATACTTGAACAAATGTGTGCAAAGAAACTGCTGTTACGTTTAAGGTGGATTTCTAAGAAAACCTCATATTATCTGTATTGATGGAAAAACGATTTCTATAATGAAAAGGGTTGAAATTTTTATGTGACTTATAATATTGATTTGAGTTATACAAGTAAAGCAAAAATAAACTAAGTTGCTTGTCCAATGGAATGGACAAGAAAGACAGGAAATAAAGACCAATGAAAAATGAACTACTGTGGAGAAGTTTTACATTTATGGAAAAAGAAATAGGAAGCTTGTTCATCAAATTGATAGAAAAGCTTTAAAAACTAAACAAATCAAATGACATTAGTATAATCGAATTCAGACTTTGATTTGCCTAACTGGACCCCATATTCCTAAGGACAGTTCTCCATTGTCTGAGCATGTTGTCAAACTTTGTACTATAAACTGGATAGAGTATATGCTAGGAACTGTTCGATTCTTTCTTTAAAAAAAAAAAAGCTCAGGCTCAGGATTCAGAATTAATAGAACCATGAAACCTAAACCCTAAGATTGTAACAACTCTCTTCTGTGTTTTTCCCTCTGGTGTTTATTCTTAAAAACCTAAAAGATTTAATGATCACCAGTGCCACTACTGTTATGTTTAGGTATTCTTTGACTTAGAAAAAGTTGGTCACATGTGCCACTTCTAGAGCCCTTAGGGGTATGTTTTTTAAACCATGAAGATATTTCTCATAAAATCTTTACAAACATTTTCTAGATGAATAATGTCAAAAGAAGGTCTATATTCTAGGAGCATCTGCTACAAATAATGCAGTTTTATTTGGACTAGGAGTTATAATGTGTTGAGAATGGTAATGAATTAACTCCATTTTAGATATAGAATGCCTATCATTCCAATACAAATGTATTAATAAATCCTAAGATTTGTAGGTTTTATGTGCTAGTATGAAAATTACTAAAGATGGATAAATCATATGTTGGAGACATAAAATAAGAAACCTTTTTGTTTTCTGAAAATACATAGCAGATTCATTATTGTGATACCGTGTAATTATGCTAGATGGCAAATTTATTGTTAGATTATACTTTAATCATATTTTTTAAGTTTGGTATCTGACGACAGACATTCATTTGGTGAATATTATTATGGCAACTAAAAGCTAAATATGATAAAATGCACAAACAAGGGAAATTTTTTTTAAATGAAGACAGTAGTGGCCTAACATGCCATTTTGGCAACATAGCCTGCTAGAAATTACTGTTCTACTGCAAATAAACTTGCACAGGGTCTGTAAATGTATAAGTTTATAAATAAACTTGCATAAAATTCAAATAAACTTGCATTCATGTTTTCTCTGAAGTTTCTTGAGTTGACTTTGCATAAAGGTGTTATTCTGTACTTCCAGGAAGTGAATTATTCAGGTCAGCCACATTTTTTTCTTCCCAGAGTCTACCCTTTTTAGTGTTTAGTATCTTTGTGGATGCATCCTTTTTTTCCCTTTTGTCTTTTTTTTTAACTTTTTTTCCTTTTCCTTTCTCCACATGTTCTATTTTCTTATTATTTTTTCTTATTATTTTTATATGGAATGCTTTACGGATTTGCGAGTCATCCTTGTGCAAGGGCCATGCTAATCTTCTCTGTATCATTCCAATTATAGTATATGTGCTGCCAAAGCCAGCACATCTCCACATGTTCTAAATCCCCTTTTGTTCCAACTCCATACTCAAGTATTCTCATAACTTCCAAATGATTAATTAAATGCAAAATTCAGTGGTATAGTAATTGGGTTTCTATTCTTGCCCACTATAGGAATGTGCTTCTTGTGGTGATTAGAATGATGATTATGGTAATAGTTAACAGGTTCTGAGCGCTTTCTAGGTGCCAGGCACTGTTCTAGGTGTTTTGCCTCTGTTAATTTATTTAATCCTCCCCCACAAATTTGAGATACCATTATTCCCATTTTTTTAGATGAGGATGTAGATATACAGAGAGATTAGGGCAACTGTCTTACCACTAAGAGGCAGAGCTATTAAGGGTGGGATGTGGGATTAGAAATCAGGCATCTCACTTCCTGAAGTGATGAAATTTAGGTTGAAGAAATTAATTCAATTGGGTTTCCTGCTTATTTTTCAATTTCATTGTGGTCTTTCATTGTGTATTTGTTACTACAACACTGCCTTAGCATCCTGTAACTATAATTGAAAGGTTATGTTAACCAATTTTTACTGTTACATAAATGTCATGAAATATTCAGTTTGTGTATGAGCTTCCTTTTTTATTAACTCTTGCACCTTGATGTATATTGCTATAATTCTTCATGTGAATGCCTATTAAGGAAAGATAAAGTTAGAAATCTTTGATCCTGCTAATAATAAGCTTGTTTTTGTTACACCGGGAGTATTTCAGAAATACTCAAGTTAGAATACATACACACAGGGAAAATTAACTCATCAATATTGTTTGCTCTGTATATGTCTGTGTTGTCTTTTTGTCAGGATAAGCCAGAAAGAATTGTATTTTTTTAATAATTTGTGGTAAATGCCTTTATGAAGTGTTCTGGACATATGCTATGGTCGGAAGGATTGTTGATGAGGTTTTTTTTCTGTTTGTTCATTCCCTTACATTGTTAGTGCCTATATACAAAGGGGGACAAAGTGATAATTCACTTTTTGTATGAAGCCTTGGGTTTCAGTTGAATTTTTTTTTTCAGAGTCCAAGCTTTTACTTTTATTTTTAAAATTCTGATAAAAATTTATTCAATTACATTTTATACAATAGTATTTAGTGAATCTGTTCCAAAAGGCTATGTTTTAAGTTCTTTTGTAAAAATAACAAAAGCTTTATCACTCAGTCTCTGGTCAAGAAGAAAGGAAGAAAACCTTGCTAAAAATAACAATAAATAACTTCACACACAAAAAGGCCAGGTGACACAAGAATACTATAATAATCAATATATTTTCTTTGTATTTACAATAAATCCATTTAATACTGTGATAGAAAAAAATAATCAGTCCACATTATGTAGTAGAAATAGGCTCTGAGAATGATTATA